TAATTTTTTTCATTCTGCATTTTGTTTTTATTATTATGCACTAAAGAGACATTTTTTTTATTTTACATTTAATTTAGTATTGTGTGTTTTTGCTTTGTTTTCTGTTTGGTTGCTGGGATTTTGTTAAAGAGCTAATAGTGGCACCCAGAGACATAATGTGGCAGTATTATTTGTGGTTAAAATAAAATATTTTAAATTTGAAACCAAAAATTTGAATGAGTATATCAGTGCAATTTTATGCACTCTATTGTTTTTTAAGGTAATTTAAACATATTGTGATATATATATATATATATATATATATATATATATATATATATATATATATATATATATATATATATATATATATATATATATATATAGTGTAAAGCGATTTTAGCCTGAATATTTTGCGATGTTCGATTTCTTCATATCACCCAGCCCTAGCTAAAACTATATAATTTTACTTGAGTTGATGTTAAGTCTATTCTAAAAGCTCAGTTTCACCTTGCCTCATGCATTCCAAAACCAATCCTATGTGTTGGGGGTTCCTGTTGGATCCTGGGCTCAGTCTGAACTCATTTATTCTTTAAGGACATTCAAGCCAAAATATTAGCCATGATATGTGCTGTCCTGAATAGTGATCAGTAGTTAATTTAGCACCGGGACAGATTTGGAGCTTAGGAAGTATATGGTTTCCCACAATCCTTTGCATGTCACAACATATAGGCAACAACCTGTTTAATAACCAGTTATTGGGTCAATGTTGAATTAGACATGCCTGGCTCAGTGTTGATGGCTTCAAAAATGTAGTGGTTCCTTTGCTTTGGGATGTATCGCTAGATGTTACTGGAGGTTGATTTGTATATATTTCAGTCTAAGTATTATTTGAACCATCTGAAAAAGTAAAAAAATGAATAAATAAATAATCATTGACTTTGAAGCAGTTTGTTGTATAATTATACAACTATAGAAAGAATTGTTTTAATTCATCAGTATGCTAGAGTCAAGGTCTACTAGATGATTGTAAATAACAGGAACTGCATTTTGACTTTACAGTATACCAATTGCATATTCTATATAGAACATGTTTACTAGATATGCAATATGTAGATGCCTTAGGAGATTATGCATTAGGTTAAACCTCAGTCTTGCAATGACTACATGTAGTCGAGTGAATTTTACCTCGGTGATAAATATTTACTCAAAACAGACAATTCTACATTTAGATTTTAGAGGACTATGCAATTCCCTGAAAGCTGTTCTTGAATTGCTGTGGTTGTGAAAGTGGTAGAAAAATCAAGCAGCAAAGTCATTTCATGTGATCTTCTTCCCACTTACTTTGGAAAATTTGTTGTTTTCATATGGTAGCATATGGCAATCTGACAAGTGTATTATCAAAGATGTTTAACTGTTTTCACCTACCATGTTACAAGTGGAGCTTTATTGACAACTGTCCAAATTGACCGTCTCCCTGCTTTTATAACTCCTCTTTTTGCCGTTTCAGGTTGAAGCTCCATTCATACCAAAGTGCAGAGGCCCAGGGGACACCAGCAACTTCGACGATTACGAGGAGGAGGACATCCGTGTTTCTGTAACGGAAAAATGTGCAAAGGAGTTTGCAGAGTTTTAAGAAACAAGAACATGGATAAATCAGGGAAACATAAAGGGGACCTTTGCACTCTTCTATAAGACTTGTGATGGAACAGGGACCATCTTTTCTTTTCAGATCTACATAGTCCCTTCATTCCACAAGGCTGAAAGAGGTCGTTGTGATCCTTCAGTGTCGATAACTTCTCACTGTCAAATCACCTGCACATTAAAGCAGACGCATTACCTTTTTTTGTCACTTTGAAAGCAGTTAGTTTGTTTGGATTTTTTTTTTAAGTGTGTGTGACAAAACTGAGACTGCGGCCAGTAGCAGTCCACACTAGATGATTTCTCTCGTCATTTGGGTTATTTGTGTTCTCGTCTGTCATCATCAGCGATGAGTTGAAGTCTGCATCGTATTAAGTTGAGCCAGTTTACCCAGCTACTTTTGGTCCTGTGCATATCTGAGTTTGTACGGCAGTGACAACAATGAGTGTTTAAAGCATGACCAAATAGAACTTGACTGGCTGACACAAGGGAAGTTGTTTCTTTTGCTTTTTGCCTTAGAAAGCCAAGTCCTCAGACCACCGCTCTCTATAGGACTCTTTCCATATTAGGCCATTGCAGAAAATGACAAATCTTGCATTTAAAACAAATGCAAATCCACTTCTTTGTTTGATCCAATTGGGTCTAATAGTTACATTTAGAAGCTGTACTCTGCCATTTTACTGGGGTTTCTTTGTTTTGTCTTTGTTGAGTCACTTAATTGGTCCCCTTGGGGACTTTTGCCACAAGTATGTGGAAACGGTGAATTCCGTAAAAGAAAATAAGGTAAATAAATCCTTTTTAGGATTATGTTTTAAATTAAACCAAATAGTCATCAGTGGGAATAGTGGGCATTTTCCGCCTGAAGAATGTTTTATTTTATTTTTTTAAATGATGAAGTTTTACGATTAAAAACCAAAAGGGAAATATACATATTTATTATATATCACCCCAATTATTATTATTTTTTTTTTTTTATTATTCTTGTGACAGAATGTAGGTTTGCAACTTCTAGGTTTGTGTGTTTTTGCTCACAGGACACTGGCTAAACTGAAGACTGCTCCTTTGTATCACATGTAACCCTTTTCCTGTTATGCTCATAACATGATATGCATTGTTCCACATATGTTTTTATTTATACACATTAGAGAAGATGCTAATAAATTTTATTTTTAAAAGTGTTGAAGTTTGATAACCATTTTATATCAGAGATCTCAGGAGAAAAGTTGGAAAAGGTGTTCTGTCAAAGTAATACTTTGTGAACTGAGTAGTTGTTTTTTTTTTAACACTAATAAATGGGTACCTTTTACATAAACACAAACTAAAGCTAATACAAAAATGTATTAACCAAAATTTAATTTGAAAGACTAAGAGAAAATACATCTTGATATAAAATAAGAGGGGTCGATTTACAATTTTGTTCATGAAATGAAAATAAGACATCAGTATAAAATAAAATTTTTTTTTAATGTTTTACGTAAAATTGTTTTCTTCATATTGATGTATTTTAATTAATTTACCTTTTATTCAAAAGTCTACATTTTAAAACAATTACATCACATATTTTTCTGTTGAGGTGTTCCTATGATGAAATTCACTGCGAATTTCCCAAAAATAGCATCCTTCTTTTATAAAACCTAAACCCTTAACTGGGGCCAAGACAATCAGATTAATTGTGATTATTGAAATAATCATTTTATTTAGTAATATATTAATGGTGAAATGGAGTATAGAGACTGTAAAACATGCCTTTAGCTGACAGAGTGACCCACTTAGAGCAGTAATATCAAAATTGTAAAAAAAAAAAAATTTAAAAAGCAAACGTTTCGCAATAAGGATAAAAAAAAATATATATATATTCGAATTTTACTTGAATATATTCAATCCAGAACTCTAGTGGAAAAGTTTTAGTTTAACCTTTTCAAATTTGGCGAAAAATCTTTAAGGAACCTTTGGTTATCAGACGATTCATCGAAAAAATAATCAACGGATTAATGGATTTAATGCAAAATTATCGTTAGTTGCAGCCCTACAAATGTAATGTAAGACAGGGGTCTTCAACGTTTTCCAGGCCAAGGACCCCAAAACTGATGTTGAGATTGAGCAAGGACCCCCTAATTATATTTATTGTATGAAATTGTGTTATATCAAACTGGTCATATACTCTCACTCTATTACAGATGGAGTAATGTAACGAAAGTAATTTTTCCCTGGGATTATTAAAGTATTTCTGATTCTGATTCCTCATAGATGGGACAGGTGTTGTGAATGACATGGTGCCCCAGGTATAAAAAAAAAAAAAAAAACAGTCTGATCAACCAAAGCATTCTCCACCCACATGTAATACCTCTGTGGACCCCTAGGGGTCGCGGACCCCTGTTGAAGACCTGCGCTGTAAGAGATATGAACGTTTAAATATCTAACGTTCAACTAAATGATTTACAACAGTTGTGTCTAACGCGTTTGGCTTTATCTTATATAACTGAAAATGCTTACATTTAATTTTAAGACATTTGTTAAACAAATATGAACTACGAATCGCGGTTAAAGTTGCTTCTTTAAGATCCGAGCATCTTGCCGTATCTGTTCACCTATCTGTTCAGATTAAATGTCTTGCTTATAAGTGGAAAATCTGAAACCCGTCAAGATCTTTTAGATGAAGTTAGTTATTTGTTATATGGCATTAAGCAACAAAAATAAGTATTCAATTCACATGGGTTCCAGCACATAGAGGAATTGTAGGTAATGAAAAAATAGATAAGTTGGCTAAAGAAGTTAAAGCAAGAGAAATTGAATATGATGTCCTATTAAGTAGAGCAGAAATAAAAGTAATTATTAAAGATAAATAACATATGGCAGGAGAGATGGAATTTAGAAGAAATAGGGAGGCATTTACATAAAATACAGAAGGTGGTAATCATAAGAAATCCTGGTATAACGAATAGGAGAGAGGAAGTGTGGATAAACAGGTTGAGGATTGGGCATACAAGTTTAAATAGTGGTTTAAAAAATATAGGGAAACATCCATCAGGTGATTGTTCCTATTGTGGGGAAACAGAAGGAGTAGAACATGTGTTAATTTATTGTAGAAAATATATAAAAGAGAGGAAAGAACAGGAAAGGGCAATGGGGACTTCAGTAAATATGGTTAATTTATTAGGAAAGCATCAATCACATGATGTAGTTAAAGCATTTATTAAGTATTTAAAAGACAAAATTAGATCAGGGGATTTAGTATTTATGTGTGTGGTTTTTTTTTTAAGATACGAAGATGTATAGAATTTTTTTTCCTGAACTACATCTCCATCCAGTTGATGGCGGTATACACAACAGTGTGTAAACTCTCATAAAGCAGCATAGAAGAAAAAGAAGAAGAAGTAGTATCCGTCCACCGCAGTGATCGATGGGTAATGTAGTTTCGCAACAAAAAACACGTGGGGTGTATTGCTGTGACTTCTACGAAACATGGCGGGGTTGGAGCTGCTCACCGACCAAGGATACCGCCTGGATGGAAGAAAAGCCTCCGAACTGCGGAAGTTTCAGGCCCGTATGGGAGTGTTCGCTCAGGCAGACGGTTCTGCTTATCTGGAGCAGGGAAACACCAAGGCTCTGGCTGTGGTTTACGGTCCGCATGAAGTAAGTAGGGCCCCAGTGGCGCCGAGTCATAAAATATATTCACGTTTTTATTTAATAAATACCCTCGTTTCCTTGGCTGGGGTTGTTGAAACTTAAAATAAGGATGAAAATATAATGCATTTCCTCTTGTATTAAAAAGATATTCGTTACAGTCAGTGACGTGCGGTGAGGTTCATAGCTGGTGAGGCACTGACGTCATCAGAATCAGATTTGCAAATAGATGCATAGATTGACAGCAGTTTACAGGTTATGTTTCACTTCTGCATCCTTACACATACAAACTGTAGCTCACAAAACACACATTTCCTTAAAAAACAAAACAAAATAAATGTTATTACTGTCTTACCTTTACTTATAAATGAATAGAAGTCCTCCTTATCTTCCTTCAGTTTTAAAAGTCTCTCTGTCTCAATGGAGATCACTGCCAGGGAAGAAAGCCTTCCTTGATCCGTCCTGTTCCTGCCTTATGTTTTCAGTCTCTTGAGCACCCCCTGCCATGAGGCAAGAGAACTGCCTGCCTCACCTCGAACTTGTTCTCTGCCGTTTATAATCGCTCATTACACGAAACACGTTACACAAACACAGTTGGTGACAAAAAGCTCTGTACATTATATACATAAGCCAAATTATTAGAAATAAGTTCACATATTACATTTGTTTAAACCATTTTATTGACGCCGTACAGCAACATGCTCTCTCCGCTTTGCAGCCAGCGCAGAGCCAGGGGTTGCGCAATCCAAGGTGAGGCAGAGCTCGCTGCTGCCTCACCAGCATCGCTTCCAAGCATTTGAATGGGAAAATAAGAAAATTCAGCGATTTTGAACAAATAAAAATCGAAATTGGTGAAGCTACATGAAAAATGAATATTTTTTAGTACAAACCACCGGATGAATATAACAATTTAAATTACTTTATGATTATATATTTTCTTTCTTTCCATGATGGCTGGTGAGGCACTGCCTCACCTGCCTCCCCTGACCGCACGTCACTGGTTACAGTTCTGTTTTGCCCGTGCAAATGATCAGTGACCGTTTCCTTTAGTGGTTATTTGTATCAGCAATAATCAAAGTCTTTTCTTTCTTTTTTGTACTTTTAAACACTAGAAAGTTTAGTGATAAAGCTATCAGAGTTTTACTGAATTCAGATGTGATTTGAATAACTAAATGTCTGGTGTGCTAAATAGTAATAAATCTTCAAAGAATCTAAAACAGGATCAAAGTCTTTATGCTACAACATCTTTTAACCTTATGTTTAAAAAGACTCCATCACTGTCATAAGTTTGCATTTGCAGGTCATTGGCATTTATATGGCACAGTTAAAGGAAGGGCAGGTGATGCATCTGAAGTTTTAGTTTTGGATAAAAATATACAATTAAGTTTGTTGGATTTTGATGGAATTGTTGTGTTTTTGCCACACATGAACCAATATATATATTTCTATTTATATATTAATAAACAAAAAAAAAAAAAATAGGCTCCATTAACATTCAGGCCTAATAAAAAGTGTTAAGAGTTTCGTCTGGAAAGCATATAACCTCATCTCATGTTAAATAAGGTTGAGGATGGGGCCATTTCCCAGGGTTGATGTTGGCATGGGTTTTCTTTTCTAAACAGTTTTTATTTGTATTTTATGTTATTGTTCTGTTCAAACACAACATTATGTCCAAGTTTAAAAAAATCCTGCTTCAAGAACTTAAATCTAGTCCCCAATTTTCAGTATTTCTGTACATATCAAAATGAACAGTGGTCATGATGCTGCCACTGCCTTGCTTTACAGTAGGCACAATGGTCTAACATTTGAAGACTTTCCTTGTTTCCACCAAATATGTTTCTGATAATTGTGGCCAGACTGATCATCTTTGCCTCCACTGGCTATGAAGGGTTTGCTTGAAGGAATTTAAAGTTTAGTCTAGCTTAAAAGCTTCTGTTTTTGTTGCCACTCCTTCAATCTATGATGATGTAAACCTTACCTCTTTAAGAGCTGTTAAAGTCTTCCCAGACATATGTTATAGCTCTGTGGTTAGATTTGCTATAGATTTAGGATCTGGGCTTTGATTCATTGATGTTACTGTTGGTGTCCGCTTCAGATGAGAGGATCCAGAAGTCGGGCCCTTCATGATCGAGCTGTTATTAACTGCCAGTACAGCATGGCCACTTTCAGCACAGCTGAGAGGAAGAGGAGACCGCATGGAGATCGCAAATCCACAGAGATGAGTCTCCACCTGAAGCAGACATTTGAAGCTGCTGTGATGACTCAGCTCTTCCCACGCTCTCAGATAGACATCTATGTGAAGGTAAATCGCAATCGCAGGAAAGCGCAACGTTTACCAAGACCCTTTCTCTTCTTAAAATTATTCGTTTTCTTTTTTCCATTCAGATTCTGCAGTCAGATGGAGGGAACTACAGCGTGTGTGTCAATGCAGCTACCCTTGCGGTCATTGATGCGGGCATCCCCATGAGAGACTACGTCTGTGCCTGCACTGTAGGCTTTGTTGATGAGACTCCTCTTGCTGACCTTTGCTATGCCGAGGAGAGCGGAGGAGTGAGCTCTCTGGCTTTGGCTCTGCTGCCCCGGGGCGGACAGATCGCCCTTGTTCAGATGGACGCCCGACTTCATCAGGACCACCTGGAAACCCTGATCGAAGCTGCAATGACTGCTTGTAAAGGGGTGAGCAAGGTGCTGGACGAGGTGGTGAGGCAGCATCTCCAAGAGGCATCTGTACACTCCAGAGAGTAAAATCTGGACTGGGATTCTGAGAGAGTTTTCATTTACTTCATTAAAATAGTTTCTTTATACTTTTGTACAAAAATGATCCTAACAATACAAAATGTGTGTATCTTTACTTCTTGTATATGATCTATAAATAAACAATTGTATTTTATGGGATTGTTTGAACAGACCGGAACAAAATAGACCTCAGAGAATTACGGTAAGAAAAGCTCTTCATCATAAGACACCTATCAGGTAATTTATAGAATCAAGAAGCTTATTGTTTTAGCTAAGTATTATTTGTATTTGAAGAAATCTTTTTTTTATTGTATTGTGCTGTTAATGAAGTTTCAGGAACACAAATGTGAAATGTACTGCTTTGTGTTAGTGAAGCATACATACTAAGCTATATTAAAACATTTAGATATAAATGAATCTTTTCTAGAGTATTTGTACAAAACTAGATCTTGCTTCAGTCAGAATCTCTGAGTATGTAGGATCACTTAAAACTTTAAAACTTTAGCCTACATGTCAATTTAGGCAACATTAAATGGAAGGAAACTGTTAAAGAGAGAAATGGAAAATATATTTTTTAATATTCTTCCATTTTCTCTTTAAAGAAAAAAAACGCAAGCCATGTGTGTGTCTAAACTATTGTATTTTTATAATTCCAATATTCTGTCATCAAACCCTAAAAAATTAAAGTATTATTCGATTGGCTTTGAGGGGATCTGGTGAGGTGCTGAACATGTCCTACAACCTCCTTCACTCCTAGTAAATATTTTTTTGCAGTTTTTGTCATGTTTTTATCGGACTTTTGGATTTTTTCTATACGAGTTAGAACGTTTCAGTTATTTTTAACTGGGCATAAATTGTAAATGTTAAAATAAGTTTCATTAACTGTACTTTAGGTGCATAGTTTAATAATATTAGTGGTCCTGCAGCAGCTGAAAGTTGCCCATTTGTGTGCTTAAGTGCGTTTTTATACTGGAGTTGATAATTGGATATCTTTGGCTATAACTTATACTATAAACAAAGTCAATAGGACAATATTTTTACCCTCATGAATTCCCATAAGATAATTTACCAAAACAAATTAAAAAATGAGACCCTGTAGAGCATAAATGTCTCTCCACAGGTTGGCTTCACTTAGCAGTTGAGAAAGGGTGAGGAGCCTCACCATCTGGGCTGGAAGAGGAGAGGAGTCACTGTTTCTCTGCATTGAAAGCAGTAATAAAAGGTCAATTGATCAGGTTGCCTCCTGGGTAATCCCAACTTCCTTGCAATTCTCATTTGGGAGGATTACAGATACAGAACCCTTTGGCCTGGAAACACCCTGTAATCCTATACTTCCCTTATCTGAATCATGATTGATGCAATAGACTTTCAACCACTGCAAGTGCAGCAAAATGTTCTCAAATAACATGGCATCTAGTGTAGAGTAATAACCCTTATATATGTTTTGCACGCATCATGTATCAATGCCTAAATTACAACAGAAATACTGTTTCACATATTGTTCTGTAATATGCACCATCTGCAGAGACTATGTTTGCAGTAGATTTACACTTATCTGGAGAGATATGTACATTTTCTTTCATCAAAAAATCTTAAAATATTATTTAAAAAATCTTTAACAGATAAGGAGGTTTTGTTTGGGATGCAGAAATGTGAACTTGTCAAAACAAAATTTTTACATGTTATTTTTTGTATTATTTATGGTGAATGTCATATTCACACCTCCAAATATTTACAACAAAAACATAATTTCCAGATTTTTATCTTATATTAATATCTATATAACAATCTTAAAATATAGTTCAAATGCTAAAGCCATGTTAATCATAACTGCCCTTAAACAATTATAACCCTCGAGCATAGATTTGATTTTGACATTTTAAAATAATCTGTTCTGTAAAGCCCTTTGTTGCTGTATATGTTTTAATTATGAATGTTCTATTATTGTTCATGTATGTTCCTTTTTTTTGCAATAAAAAATAAGGTCATATGTAACATCCATTGGAAAACAAACTATTAATGTTCCGTTATTTAGACTAAATTCCATTATGGTCCACTGAAAGCCCACGCACTATTAAAAATGTGTTCATTTAGTTTTTCTATTCTATCAGCGCTTCTAGAGCGGAAATCGGTCCGCGGTAAAAACTGTCCGTCAGAAACAAGGAAATCGCAACGTATTTTAAGGAGAGGCGCCCCAGATGAATCTCTGCAGGTGAATGTGGCGTCTAGACTGAGGTACTTTTTTGTTTATATTTGGAGTATTATAAGACCACATTTTAAACTGTAATAACTGAGACTTCTAGTGGACTAGAACGGGGTTGGCGAATTTACAGGCTCTGAAAACGTAGCTCGTAACTGGCTAGCATTATGCTAAACACAGCACCGCTGTAATGAAAGCTGCTGTGGGACTGCGGTCTGGCAAAGCGGTGTTTAAATTGAATGAAAACCCTGACATTAAGGTGTATGTTGTTCTGGGAACGTTTGGCATTATCAAATACTACTATATTCCACATTGTAAAGTATTAACGTATATATTTTTAAACTTGATTTCTTAATTTTTCGCTTTCTACAGGAGCCGGTGAGTGCAGACATCCAGGAAACGTCAGCCCAGAAAGCAAGATGGGACTTTTATCTGATCCCAACAGGAGACGGGCTTTAATCAGCATGTTGACCCGCCTTAATACTCCAATCTGGTTAGTTTCAATCACAACAGGATCCCATTTATTTCTGATCATGTAAAACAATGTTAATACCAGCCAGTCCTGGGTAAAAATCCCTAATTTTTAGAGGATTCTGTTTTTTTCTTCTGATCTTTTAAGCTGGCCTAAAATTCCTTTATATTGAGGTTCCTCTAATAATTCCTTCATGATTTTAGAGATGCACCGATCCGTTTTTTTCTGAATCAGATACCTATACCAGGGCTATCAATGAATGCTGGTCCTTGACTTAATGAACCATATATCTTGCCATGTGACTGAAGGCTTTAGTCTTGACATAAACATTGCTAAAATAAAAGGTAACAAATGAACACAGTTATAAATGTATATTATTTATAAACATAAGCAGAAAAAAGAAATAAATAACACTTCGATTTTAGGTGCTTTGGATTGGATATAGAATTACTGGTATCCAGCAATTTAGTCAATATCGGTGCTGATATCTGATCCAGGTATTGTATTGGTGCATCTTTACTTAATTTCATTTTAAACTTGGAATTAGAAACAGGTCTTTTATTTCTTAGACGCTGGGGTATAAAGTCTATAACTGGCACAGATTACAGATGATTTACCTTGTTTTGTTTCTGCATCCCAGTGTGCTGTGCTACTTTGCCGGTGTTTGCTGGTTTATGGGATTAGCATTTGAACCCTTCACGTTGCGGACATATATGTCGGAGAATGCCATGGGATCCACCATGGTTGAGGAACGCTTTCCTTCAGGAGAAAGAGCTCTGGCCACAGGCAGAGAGTTTGCTGCTCACAAGAAGAAAGTCGGGTATGCTTTTTTCTTTCTTTTTTCTTTATGCTTAAATCTGTATATATTGTTGAACACCTTAGCATTAGCTTGGAAGTATTCCACTGGTTTGTTTGATGTTTATCTTTAGTGGGATACCGGTTGATTGGCTAGTGAAAACGATGCAGGCTCGAGGGTTGGAGGTTTTCACCCAGAGCTTCTCTCGCACACTACCCTTTCCAGATGAAAATAAAGAAAGATATGTAAGCTTATATAAGAATTTATTTTCCTGTTTGGGCTCCTCTTTTTGTTTTGTTTTGTTTTTGCTGAAATAGTGACAAACTACACCTTTCCTGATAGATTGTAAAAGGTACAAATGTCTACGGGATCCTTCGCGCGCCTCGAGCTCCACGAACAGAAGCCCTGGTGCTTAGTGCTCCTTGTAGTCCAGGTGATCAGAACAACCAGGCCGTGGGGCTGCTGCTTGGTTTGGCTCACTATTTTCGCAGTGAGTACTGTACCCTCTGAAGGTTCCTCTACAATCAGTTCACTTTTAAATCAGTCAATATATCAATTCAGTGAGGATGACATTAGTAATCTGTTGTTACCAGGTCAGATTTTCTGGGCCAAGGACATCATCTTTCTTGTAAACGAGCATGATCTGATTGGTATGCAGGCCTGGCTGGAAAGCTACCATCACACCAACACTACAGGTGATCATCTGAGTTGATTCTGTCATAATGAACAGCCATTACACTCGAATAGAATGATTAAGTTTCAAGGGTTTTTATTCAGTCAAAACAAACAAGAAAATTGATTTCCTTTTTCTTTCAGGAATGGACTGGTCTCCATTACAAGGCCGCGGTGGTTCAATCCAAGCAGCTCTGTCTTTGGAGCTCAGCAGTGATGTAATAACCAGTTTGGACATAGTACTGGAAGGTCTTAATGGCCAGTTACCAAACCTGGATTTAGCAAACCTCTTCTATGCCTTCTGCCAGAAGATTGGGGTTCTTTGCACCATCCAGGGCAGGGTAAAGACCTGGAAAGACATGCTGTTATGTGGTTAAATCCCCTATATGATGATCTTTTTATATTTTGATTTGTGGATGCTTGTGCAGTTGCAGAGGAATGATTGGGACAGTGTGTCAGGCTACAGCCATGCAGTCCAGACCATGATGCTGATGGTGATGAAGCAGGCCAGTGGACGGCCATGGGGAGACCACGGTTTGTTCCTGCGCTACCACATAGAGGCAGCCTCCATCAAAGGCATCAACAGCTTTCGACAGTACAAGACAGACCTCACCACCGTCGGCAGGTCAGAACCACAGAGGACTGAATATTTTTATCAAAACCCCAAATATACTATAAATAATATAAATATAAATAATTATAGCAGAAGTGGTCACAAAATGTGCACCTTAGAAATAACTGATAGGAAAATAAAATAAAGTATTGTACTGTACAGTTTTATTTTTACAGACACTGTATCTGGAGAATAAATAATAAACAGCGTTGGACATTTTTTGCAGTAGTGGATATGTGCAAATAGCATCATCAGAGGAAAAAATGACAGCAGTATGTTATTTAAGTCACTAAGACAGAAACAATGCAAAAACCAGCATGAATGTAACAACTTATGGAGGTTGTTGGGAACAGTGATGGTTATAAATTCTTACATCTGTTGGGAGAAAGGACCTGTGATAAGAAACATTGTTTGTGATTTAGAGCACTAAACTATAAAGATGCAATTTCAACAGATGGTGTCATATTTACAGGACGAAATGGCAAATGTGTTTGTTTCGGACTGACACTAATAATATCATTTTATTTTATATATTCCTTATACATTTTGAATTTATGTGCACATCAATACATTACAATATAATTCAAAAGAACCCATATTTCAGTGACCTTGTTTAACATAAGTTTTTCCTTCCCCCTAATTTACGATTATATGCTTGGACATAGTATTTTTTAAAGTCTGATTTTGTAGCAGTGATTATTTGTTGCTTAGTCCCCTAATGAGGCGTAACAAACACAAGCATGATTGTGTAAGCAATAACAGTATTCTGTATTGAAATGTCTTTTTATTGGTTACATGTAATATTTTAAAACTCATTGACATTTTATTTTAAGATGCACTTGAAAATATAAACATTTCTCTGATTTCATTTTTCTTTTTGCCTTTCAGACTGCTGGAAGGAATGTTTCGGAAGCTGAATAACCTTCTGGAGCGTCTACACCAATCTTACTTCTTCTACCTCATGCCGTCCCTCTCCCACTTTGTCTCTATCGGATACTATATGCCTGCCTTTGGCCTCCTGGCGGTCATTTTGCTGCTTCGTGTATCCTCCCTACATAATTTCTCTTTTTTTTTTTTTGACTAAACAAATAGAAAAGCTGGTATGACTGACTGAGTTTTAGTTGTGCAATCTATCTATTTATCCTCCTTGACTCTAAATGTAGGCCTTAGACCTGTGGGTGTTGATTGCCAATCCACCTGCCGTAACAGCGGATGGAGTTGCTGATTTAGAGCAGGTTGGACACCTACACAGATTAACCAATTGGATATGAAACTACTTGTTTCTGTTGATTTATCTCTGAAAACTCTTTCCTGCAGCAGTCCAGTACGGGGGTTCTGTCAGTTCTGACTCCTCTGGTGATCAGCCACCTGACTGGAGCAGCTTTGTACATACTGCCAACCCATTTCCAGGAGATTGCTGTCGAACACTTCCCAGTTTCTGAGACAGAAGCTGTTGTCCTCACAGCCATTGCTGTGTACACAGCAGGTCTGGCTTTGCCTCATAACACACACAGGTAGCGACTGACACAACCTCTGGTTTATGACAGATTCATTTTATACCTGTTCTCATTTAGTCTATTCTTAACTTTGTTTAGGTTTGTCAACTCATCTCTTTATTTAGGAACATCTGATTGATCTAGAGAAAAGCAACAAATCATCCTATTTATTTAATCTTGATTAAACAAAGATAATTAGAAAATGTTTATTGAATTCATTTTTCATGCATAGCTTAAAGGTATAGTGGAGGATGGTGTTCCTCCTAATTGTCGATCCTTCTGGTGATACGAGGGGCGTTCAATAAGTAATGCCCCTGCCCCACTTCCAGATGTTTGATCGAGCTGAAATGTTGCATGTGAGGTATTTTATATCTCTAGATTAAATAGCAAATTACAGCTCTGAACTAATTGTGGTTTCTGATTTACTGGTGTTAAAACTGAGTCATGTCTGAGTTTTTGCATTTGAAAGGACGCACACAACGGGAGACTTTTAATCAAAGTAACTTATAGTGATAACGTCCCATAATATAACCTTTTAAAACATTTTGCAAAGGTCATATAATGGGCTTCATCACCATAAGTTACTTTAATATAATCAAAAGTCTCCCGTGGTGTGAGTCCTTTCCAATAGAAAAACTGGATCACTGCTCAACACTCAACAGGCTCCATTTCAGACTTTACTCAGTTCAAACACCTGTAAGTCAGAAACCACAAATAGTTCAGATCTGTAATTTTCTACTTAATTTATAGAGATTTAAATAACGTCACATGCAAAACACCAGCTCGATCAAACATCTGGAAGTGGGTCAGGGGCATTACTTATTGAACGCCCCTTGTATGTTTACGTAAGGCCGTCCTACGTGCTCGTCCCCATTTTCACTTACCGGTGGTGAGTCTGACATATTGGAAAAATTGCAAATCTTCTTTTTGAAAGTAAGCTTGTATGAGCGATGCAAACAGCATCTTTTAAACAGAGCGTGCACGAGGAGAAATGGGCTCGTGCGTGCTCTCACACTAGGAGTTCCCTTTTGGGAGCGGGTACAGGAAAATTCTCAAAAATCCTCCACTATACCTTTAAAGGTCTTTGTGTATTCAGACAGTTTTTTTCTTAAAACTAAAACCCCAAACCAGAAAAAAAAAAGTTAACGATAAAAAAGAAAAACAATTCCCAGAGGGTTTACTTTCTATTATCATATTTTTGAAAATTATCATATTTTTTTGGGCTCTGCCCAGCATAAGCCTTGTGTTGTACACAAGTCCAAAATGCCGAAATATATATTTTCATTCATGGGAAACCTCATATTCCAATATTAATTTGTATGAGGATTTAAAACACAGCAAATTCCAAGTAATGTGGGTCTAATTACATCTTGCTTATGGCCAGTTTGTCGAAAAAAGGAATTAAACAATTTCTACCTGATATCCATGCAAAACTGAGGCTCCTTCAGTCCCACAGCAAGCACCCTCTCATGTTGTATTTGTATTTACAATTTTTTTAGTGCAAAAAAAAAAAGGATAAATGGTTTATCAATTTTCTAGTTTTGTTTCAAAGAAAAAAAATTATGTTTTGTGTCATCTTTGTTTAAACAAACTGCCTAAATATATAGACAGAAAACGAGGTGATTTCTGTAAATCAGTCTCAGTGTAGATTAGCTTTAAGAAGGCGGCACATCTACACTTTGAGCTGTAGAATCAGGACTTTGCTGCAGCTAAATAAACTGTTTTGTTTGTTGTTGCAGGCTGCTGACCGGTGAGGGGACAGAGCAAGGCTGGAGGGTGCTGAAGCTCGTTGCTGTTCTCTACCTGGCCGTTCTACTGGGTTGCACTGCCCTCATTAACTTCTCCCTGGGCTTCATCCTGGCTCTCACCCTGGTGCCTGTGGCTGCTTTGGTTACACCCCACGTGCCCAAGTAATTCCTTAGATATTTTTTTTATCAATGTTTTAGTAGCACTGACAGAAATGTCGACTCTGATATGTTTTTTTTTCCTTTCTTCAGAGCGTTGTCAGCTGTCGTCTTGGTGATCCTCAGCCCAGCCTGCACGCTCCTCTTCTCTGTGTTTTTCTTCCAAGAGCTCCAGGAAATGCCTGTCAGCTTCCAAGAAGGCTGGCTGCTGTACCTGTCTGTTATTTCCCAGGGAATCCTGGACCATTACTTGTACGGTTCTCTGGTTTACCCACTTGTTGCCTTAATGATTTATCCTTGTTGGCTGCTGTTCTGGAATATCCTCTTCTGGAAATAGCCTGCAGATCTGCTGAGGGCTTGAGACTATTAGATGATCCACTAGAGGATGAAGCAAGGAAATTTATTTTGCAAAAAGGATGTGACTCCCTCTGGTAACATTTTGTTATGAATTTTCACTGAAGGTACACATTTCTTTTTTATTTCTTTTTTAAGATTGCAGCCATTTTATGGCCTCCTAAAACATTTTAAGCAGCCAATAAATAAAACGGTTTGTACTTTACATAACTAAGATTAACAACCAGTTGTGGGAGTGGGAAGATGTAAACTTGGGTATATGCCGTATTTCAGTAAATCAGTACATCCATAACATTTTTAAAACCGATTCTGTCTTTTAGTGGGACATCATGCAAACAAAACTTTGATAACTAAAATAACTATGTAAACAAATGTGTGGGTGTACTATGATTTGTGAAATGCTGTGAATAGAATATTCCTTCTGTGAGGAGAGGGTTTTCTTTCTGGATTTATTTCTGGATGGTTTGGGTTTTTGGACTAATATAAAAGAAGCTGCACTGTTTATAAAGAAAATGTTCAAGAGATGATGGTAATGAAAGATGACCGTCAACAGCCTGCTTCTTAACAGTTGAAGCAAACATCACTTGGTGGATTTTTTTTTCTTTTACTTTTATTTGTGTTTGTTTCATATTTATAACTTTTAAAGATATTTAAAAAATGAACAACTGTTTTGTAGTCTGTTTTGGGTACGCTAAGCTTTTTAAAAGCATCTTGACAAGAAAATCCATCCATCCTACACACCCATTTTCTTAATGACAATCTAACCCTAACATTTACAGGCTTTTTTTCTGGGTGTGCCACAGGTCTCCTTTCAGTGGGACCTTCCCATTAAAAAAACTCCAAATAAACACAAGGCGCCCCAAACAGAACCAGAAACTACTGAAAACTAACAGACGATGGAAAACCTTAACCAATTTATAAGGCCGAGCTTATAAATTGGTTAAGGTTTTCCATCGTCCAAACATGTCAGCCGCTCATTTCCAGGATGTCTTTTTTTCAGTCATGACTATAGATGAGGGTCAAAATGAATGAATAATCTAGAGCTTTACTTTTCTACCTGGCTGTTTTTCCATCACTGGAACTCAGAGTAGACTGCAGACAAAACTCAAGTCCATGTAAAGGTCAACTGTACTAAATGGCTTTTGTATGTATCTAATTTATTATGTAAATCAGGTACAAATATACCAATCAGAGCAGCAGCAACTTGGCATATTTAGGTATCTCACTAACCCAAACCAAGAATCAGAATAGGTGAAGAAGAGGAAAGGCTCTCACAGCTCGGGGCAGCTGGTAGTGTTGGTTTGAGAGATATTTTATTGGTTTACTTTTTAGATCTTTGATATCAACTCATATTTTGTTTTCACCAAAGTCCTCCTTATATGATCACCGTACATTCATTTACTTATGGATAATGAAAACCTCACAAAGCTTAGATCACTAAAGGCTTTTCCTTGTTAGGAAAATACAATGTTTTGTTTCCATGGGATGATTTTAGTTCATTATGTTATTTCTTTTTTCATTTTTTTATAGGCTAGAAGAGAAATCCTAGAGAATATGTTAATAGACGCTTGGTTGTGCACCAAGGGCCAAATACATACAACAGTGTAACTGATCTTAGTTATAAGTTTATTAACAGTGTTTTAAGCAGCATGGAAAAAAGCTCAGACCATAAATGACATTTTTGTGTGATAGAAAGCTGTAAGGAAGCTTGCAGGTGTCTGGAAAAAATAAAACTGAGTCACAGGCAGATTCCTTCTTTTATATAGATTATGCGGTGAAAGTGGATCCTTCTTCGCTTTCACAGCTCAGAGGAAATCAAGTACAATTAAACTACACATTGAAATATACAACACATATTTAATGCATTTTGGTAAAAATATTACACTAAATACAATCCTGTACACAACCCATGCTTTTTTCCCCTCTTATTTCTAATAATGTTTTGGCACCACTGCTGCAGATGACTGATTAACAGACATAAAAGGCATCGCCTCCCTCTCCTTATCACAGCAAACGGAGGCTGCGAGTGACCTCCCCTCGTCTTTGGCTGCAATCGGACAGAAGGAAGGAAATTACCTCGCTCCCTTTCCCTGCTAAAATAAATATCAGGCTGTTTGTGTTACACGCACATACACATATATACACCCACTCTAAAATAAATTAAAAAAAAGGTCTAACCAAATGAGATTCCATGTCATGATGTCAATGTATAAACAGACCAAGCACTCTTTCCGCAGTTCGAGCGACACGTTTGTATCTGTCAGATGGTAATCAGTGCACTTTACTCTGTTTCTGTGAGTAATTTGCCAACAGCTGTATTTCAGATGTAAACGGCTCACTTTTGGGGGGTGAGTGTGGGAGTGAGCGAGAAGCATGATCCAGACGGCGGTGAGGGGCAGTCAGCTGCTGCTTACACCAGGCTCCCTGCGATCCTCTCTCCTGCCTTTCTCCTTGGTGAAAGATTAAAAAAAAATAAGTGACTGTGTGAGGGCAGGTGTTAAGAGGACTGATTCATCTGGAGTTAGATGTATGGAAGTACCTGCTGGATGCAGGTCTGCAGGTCGGGCCTGGCAGTCGCGCAGATCTCGCAGCCCGGGCGAGACGGCTTGTTGATGAAAGTGCATGATGGACAAGCCCAGTCTGTCTGCTGCGATATCAAAAATAAATACAAATGAAGTCAAATGTGATTTTTCCTACATGAAAGCAAAAAAAGCTTTCGCTTGCTCCATCTGCAGCCTATTTAAACAGCGTGCGGCTCAGATACCTGCGTCTTGTTGGCTTTGTTGGGGCGGTCGTTCAGGTGCAGCTTCTCAAAATCAAGGACATCTTTGATGTCACTTGCTTTATTATTCCCTCCGCCTGTTTCTGTTAAAAATAGATTAAAGCAAGTGAAACAACAACTCTTCAAAACCTGAAAAGATGAAAGACTGGGATCTAAAGAAATTCCTTCCAATGTTCTGATAAAAACATGAGAGGGATGCCACAGGAATACAAAACTTCCTAAAAAAACTAAAACAACCTGCTGATGCTCCTCATGTGAAAGTTGCTCGTCTGTGGATGTTTTAGAAAGTAAACAAGTTATCTTAACTGTTAAGTGCAAGCTAAAGTTATATTAAGAGTAATGGGATGGTGTTTAGTGGGCCTTATTTATGAATATTTTAATACCTATTATTCAATACCTGTTAGTCAAATGACTTTTTTCACCAAAAAAGTATTTGCAACATGCTAATGGTAAAAGATAAAACAATAGAAAGTAGCAGCTGTGTTCTACGACGGAGTATTAGGGCCACACATGAAGAGAAAAAATATTTTTGCCATGACGAGATTAAACTCAACATTAAACTCAACATTTCGAGAATAAAGTTGAAATGTCATGTTGAGTTTAATCTCGACGTGTCGACTTTAAACTCGCCATTTCGAGAATAAAGTTGATATATCGTGGCGACTTTAATCTCGACATTCCAAAGTTTGGAGAAAAGAGCAACCGCGCACCACAGCTGCAGTCTGCGTTTTAAGAGTGAAGGTAGTCTTTGACGTGCTGCAACTGTATAGGATTCTGTGCATGTATCCTGTGCAGCGGTTGGCTCTCTTGAACTAATTTAAACTTAATTGTCGACACGTCGAGATTAAACTCAACATGACATTTCAACTTTATTCTCGAAATGTTGAGTTTAATGTCGACATGTCGACTTTAAAGTCGACATGTCGAGTTTAATCTCGTCATGGCAAAAATATTTTTTCTCTTCATGTATGGCCCTAATACTCCGTCGTAGTGTTCCCATCAGAACCAGGATACATACGAGACGCATGTTTTGACTGCACATTGGCAGCTACTTTAATAAAGCTACTTTCTATTGTAAAGAAGGTTTTATATGGCGGGCTAGATGCTCCTAAGGGTTAAAGAACAGAAGCTGCTTTTTCAGGTCCATTAAAATCAGTTTTGGTGATTTTGGTGTGGCCAGACTATTAAATATTTCAAAACAACCCGATTAATAGAAATTGTATATTTAACCCCATGTCCATAAAATGCAAAGTACGATTTTCGGGTCTTGCAAAAGTAATCATACCTTGTATTTGCTGTGTGGGGATTTTGTTCACGACTAAAGAAATTCAACGTATTTCATTGAAATTCCATGTACAACACATAAAAACAGAAGTGAAAGGAAATATTTTTCTATAGGAATAAAAATCAGCCATACTCATTAGGAACCAACTTTTTTCCCTAATTCTCTGTAGAATACCTGAAGCTCTGCCAGATTAAAAGGAGAGGTAGTGAACAGGACTTCATCAAACTTGCATCATATTCTCAATCACAATTCAATTTGGGTTTTGACTAGGCCATTATAGCACAAAAATATGCTTGAAAATCTTATTTCAACTCAAAATCTTAATTCAATTCACTGAAGTTTGTGTTTGCAGTACGAAAAAACTGGTGAAATGGCTTAGATGGATCACTTGACTCAACGTTTACATTAAAGAAGGTATCCAACTAAATATGTAAAATACAGCCAACAGCATGGATTCACACAGCAGGCTTAATGCAAGCAGATTTAGGTGCAGTTTGTCTCAAGCTGGCCAAAATATTTATTGTTCTCACCCTGGTTGTTGTGGGGAAGCTTTGATGGCAGAGTGCTGTAACCCCTCCAGACCTGGGAGGTGAGGCTGCTTCCAAGGGGCAGCGGTGAAGCTAGCAGGGAGTTGTCCAGGTCCTGCTGGAACAGCTGCCGTGTAACCCGAGCTTGTCTGGCAGAGATCAGGTAAAGGTACGCGGTGTCGCCATCTTTCTGAACTCCGTATGAAGCCAGTGACCTGGGATCGGCACACAGGCACTGACCGATCACCCAGCGCTGCACGCGCGGATGGAAGCCGTACTCCAGGAAGACCTGGAGATGAACAGCTATTAACGTTAGTAGATGGGAGCCACCAAAAGTTTCGCTTTTAACACTGTTAAGTTTTCTCACCTGTTGTTTAAGCGTGGCCACGGACATGTATGGAAAAACGATCACTGTGACACAACAAGAAGAAGAGGCATCCTCCACCACCACAGATAAACTGAAACA